TGCTAATGGGGATTTCTTTGATGAATCCAAAATTTGAGTATTTTTCTATGTTATGTTCATGTTCATAAACTTTTTATTTAATAAAATATGTTTTCATAGTTTGTGTTGTCCCTTATTATCAATGCAAAATGGTCACTAACTAAAGAGGATTTATGCTGATATTGCCCAAAAACCCTATTTTGTTCAGGCGTTTCCAAACCTTTGGAGGGCAGTGTAAGCAGAATTTTCGGGTGAAACTGGAAGGCAGTCTCACATCATGTGATGTTGCTGTGTCAAATAAAAACCTTTACCTATAAACAGGAATTTTAATACAACGCCATGTTATTAGACAAAACTACTAGTACACTATCAGGTAATAACACTGATGGTTAAAGGATCACAGTGTGCTTTAATAACAATAATAATCTGATCAGTTTAAAGGTAATTGTTTGTAATGTAAATGGTAAAAAAGAATTATTTGCACAATAAATATGAACACATAAAGCAAACTGGTACAGAATTACTGTACAGAATCTCGCCCATGACAGCTGATCACATCACACAATGGAAGCATTCTCCCAAAAAAGTACGAACAGAAAGGTGTAAACTTGTTTAAGTATCGTATGTGTAAAAATACATGTGTAAACGTTTTCTAAGAGAACCTTTTCCCTATCAGGAAGAGTTCCACGTAGAACCCTTTTAGGAAGCTGGATAAGTGTGTGGAACAAACTCCAGATTATTGCTCATTGTTTTCTTCTTAATATCTAGATTTAACACTAAAATATATTTTTGGCCCAATACTCTGAGCTGATTCTTAAGCACTGGATTTTTAGCTTTTTACTTTTCATTTTAACATACTTTAGTCTTCAACAATTTAACAATATAACAATTTTGTATTATTTATTATTTTTAGCAACAGATTTCCAATAGTACACTCATACTTTTACACCTGAATATTTTTACTTTTAAGCTTTGGACTTTTTTTTTTTTTTTTTTTTTTTTTTTTTTTTTTTTTTTTTTTTTTTTTTTTACATATAACTAACATTTATTAGCTATATAAAATATATAAATAATTCTACAAATAATGATATAAATCATTCTATAAATGGTTATTAAGCTTTATAGATTTTTCTTTTTAGATTTCATATATAATACAATTTAAATGTTTTAAAAAAAACATCACAAACTAATCATTTGTAACAGCTTTCCAGATATTTAAAAAAATTGTAATCATTTGAGTAATATTTTATATTCATTTTTAAAACAGTTTTTTTTTTAGTGTAATACTAGCGTATTCTTTTCCTTACCGATGCGGTAGAGGGCGCTGTTACACACATCGACCTCCCAGTAGTACTGTCCTCTGAGGATCTCCACATCAGCACACACCTGAGGGAGAGACGCACAGAGGTCACGACCCCCAGCCTGAGCGCCAGAGTCCGTGAAGGTGACCGTGAGGGCGGAGTTAGTGAGCTGGAGGGGCGGGGCTATGAAGGAGGAGTCGAGAGTAAAGAGTAGACCTGAGGAAGTCAGAGGTCAAAGGTCAGAGAGGAGAAAGGTTAGAGATGGCTGATTACATATATGCCTTTTTTAATCCAATCACGGGTAACAGGGAGGACACAGTCTGGAGTACAGACACAGGGAATACTCACAGTGTAAACATTTAACATTACAAGAGGAAACGTTTCTAGGATTTCTACAGAAAATGAATAAAAGTTCTCATGAATGATAAGTTTGAAGCTGTGACACACACAACAACTGATGTTATTTAATTATTTTAATTTTTTTCCTGGTCAAAACCTTTATTTTCAGATATGTTTGCAAATTATTATTATCATTTTTTAACCAAGTTATTCATTTTTATTATTATATATTTCTATGCATTTATTATTATTTACTATTAAATATATTAAATCTATATATATATATATATATATATATATATATATACAGTCAGGTCCGGAAGTATTTGGACAGTGACAGAGTTTTTGTGATTTTGCCTTTATACACTACCACAATGGATTTGAAATAAAACAACCAAGATGTGATCGAAGTGTAGACTTTCAGCTTTATTTTAAGAGGCATTTACCATTTAGGAATTACAGCCATTTTCAGCAAAGTACCTCCATTTTCAGGGGCTC